ACATTGTTGTTTTATCAGCAGGCGCCGTCGTTAGTGGCCCTTTGGGTACTTTAACTGGTCCAAATGAAAGAATGGTTGATTTAGGCGGAGGAAAGACTGTAAAAGTTAATGTGATTCGTGGAGCAGATGGTTTAGAAAAAGGCGAATATTTTGATCCAGCTAGCAACATGAAATTTACCATTCAACTTCACGGAGATCCTATTACTACTCAAACAAGCACAAAAGTTCGATCAACTTCGGTATTCATTACTCTACAATTAAATTATTTATCCTATTTTTTATCATTTAGCAAGTACAATCAGTTGAATTAGAACCTCATGCTCAATTTGTTGGCATCGATCAAATCAAAGATTTGAGAAATGGTCGTGTTATGTCTTTAGCAGATGCTCAACGTCTCGGACTTGCCCGTGTTGACCGCAAAGGACGACTTAGCACTAGGGAATATAGCGCTTTTCGGTCAAACATTGAATTGGCAGTTAATAAAGGAGTGATGAATGCTAGAGGAGAAAAACTTTCTTTGGAAGAAGCTATTAGACAACGTTTGATTGATATTAGGGAACTTAAGGTTTTAATTTGAAGTGAAATTAATGGCAAATTTCATTTCTATATTTTTAGTACATTCATCCACGAAATGGTGAGGCTATTGACTTGAGTAGTGCCGCTAACCAAGGACTGGTTGATGTAACATTAGCGGAAACATTGCCCAGTGGAATACACCATCCTGGAACTGGCGAAAAAATAAGTGTAAGAAGAGCTATTGATCTTGGAATTATTGACGCAAGAACTGGTGCTGTTCGACATCCTTTCACAGGCGAACCTCTCAGTTGGGTGGATTTAACGAGAAAAGTTTACAACGCAATCACTCAAAATGGGGTTTATGATCCTCGAAAAGGATATGCCATCCCTGTAACTTCTGCTTTAGCTGATGGATTGATTGATTCCCGTTCTGGAGGAATCTATATTAATCCAATAACACAAGAACGTCATTCATTAGAAGAAGCTAGTCAACGCGGCATGATTGATTCTCAAACGTTGAGAGCGTTGACTGAGCCTTGTCTAACGGATTATCAAACTCGAAGAAGAATTAATTTGATACAGGCTGTTGAGGCTAAACTGATTGATCCACGGTGGGGATGATTTTTTTTTGTTTTGAAAGTCAGATCGGGGTTATTAGAAGTACCAAGTGGATTCCAGATTTTCTTTTCCATTTTTACCTTTTTTTATTTTTTATTTTAACAGAGCCAAAACAGTTCAATTATCAGCTGATAAAATTGTATCATTACAAAAGGCCATTGAAGAAGGAGCAATACCTGCTGAAGTCGGTGACCATTTGCGCCGTGTAGATAAATTGACATTTGCCGAAGCAGTAGGGAAAGGATTGATAGATGTTGCACAGGACCGATATACATGCTCTGAGACAGGAAAGCAAATGACAATTGCCGAAGCTGTTAGCCAAGGGCTTATTGACACTGGAACAGTAAAAAGTGGTGATGAGCCTGGAGAGAAGACAAATTTAGCTAGAGTAATTGCTTCGGATGAATTTGAAGAAAGATCTGGAAGAGTACAAGTGGGCAAATTTTAAGAAATTCCAATTTTTAAATATTTTTAGGACCCACAAACTCGTCTCTATCTTCCATTCAGTGCCGCTGTTAGCCAGCGTTTGGTTGATCCAGATTCGTTATTGCATGATTTAAATTCTTCTAAAACAATTACTCTTCGTGAAGCACTCAATTTAGGACTTATAGACTCACAAGTAAATTATCCCGGAAAATTTAAAAATAAATTTCCTTTTAATTTTAGGGTCGTTACGTACCTAAAACCCAGCCTGGACAGCATACATCAATTTCTCCTGTTCCTCTAAAAGAGGCAGTACAACGAGGTCTTATTGCTCTAATTGGTTCTCCAATGCAAGCAGCACAGGCGGTCAGTGAAGCTCTAAAAAGACGTGATGCTGAAGGCTATAAATTCCGTCTTGAACCGCTTGATGATGCTACTTTACAGCGTTTAAGCACTGGAAGTGGTAAAATTTAGACAAAATTTTTTCAAAAAATTACATTAAAAATATTTTTAAAGGTCGCTCACCAATACAAGAGGAAACAATTATTCGAACTCGTCGACCACGAGAGCCCAGCCTTTCTGAGCGTGTTCGTTCTTCAGGAGGATACTCCGGTGATGGGGATGTTTCACTTCGCGGTTCACGTGTCCGTTCTGGAGATGTTGATCCATTAGCATTAGCAGATCTGCAAAACGATTTTATTGCATTATTACAACAACAAGGCTTTGATGTAGATGAAAAATGTGTTGAAAATCCATCTACAATGAGAATGATGTAAATTATTTTAAATTTTTTTGAAAATTATTTTTTACTTATCAGGTCAATTCGTGAAGCTGTTGAATCTGGTCTTTTCGATGTTAGCACCGGAAATATTGTAAATCCAATATCTGGTCGTTATTATCCGGTTAATCGAGCTATCTCAATGCGTTTAGTTCAAACAAGCCCTGAAAAAGGCCAAAAAGTATATTGAAAAAAAATTTTTCTTTACAAATTCTATTTAAAGTTGTCTGATGCTTTGGCCCAAGCACATGAAAAGTATGGAGGATTGCCTGCTTTTCGTAGAAGTGAACAACAATTCTCTCCTGGGAGTGTCAGTCTTGGAAGCTATGCTGGAGTAAGTGATCCATACCAGCGGCGATCTTCTTTTGGGATTGAAGTAGATACGTAAGTTGAAATATGGAAATTTTTTTCTTTAGATTTATTTTCAATCGAATTTTATATGAGCTACTTTTTCCCAATTTCCAATCTTTTTCTTAACTTCTTGCTTTTTACTAACATACATATTTGACCATCTATTATGATTAAAATCTACATATTTTTCCATTCATTGCAAACTCAGTTTTATCTTTTTTTGATTAATATTCTATTTTTTCTTGTTTTTAATTTATATTTTTCGATTATTAATTATGCATCAATTTTATTTTTATAGTTCACCAACTTCTCTCCCTCCAATAAATAATCGCCTTTCTTGGTCATCTCGTAATGTAGATTGGAGAGGTGATACTGCAGAATTACGTTCTCGTCCCGAACTTGCAGATGTTCGTCATGCAAGTGTTGAACGTGGTATTGATGGTAATCTTCCTCCAGGAATGCCTGTTCCCTCACCAACTACTGTTATTGGCCAAACAGTTATTAAAAAATGAACTTTTATTTTTTTAAATTTTTTATAAAAATTAGGGAACAGATTTTCACCGAGATATCGAAGAATTTCGCCGAGGAGAGCCGTCTGAAGGCCCTTTAAATATTGATCGTACTCGTACACATATTTCTCCTGATGGGCAAACTCGAACAACTACACATTATACACATCACCGCAGCGAGTATTGAAACAATATTTTTAGTTTAGGATTTCTCTGTTAAATGAGAAATTTATTTTTTTTTAAATAATTCTTATAAAAATAATTTTTATATTTAAAACTTTAAACATCTATTGATAACTTAAAAACAAGCAAAATAATTATTTGGAAGAAAACCTTGAATTAATTATTATCTAAAAAATTAATTCTCGTATTTTTTCTGTGTTTAAAGTTTTTCTTATTTTTAATTAATTTCTTGCCGCATTTATTTTTAATTTTTTATATATTCCAAATTTTTATTAATTTCAATTTAAGCCATCATTTAAACAATCTTTTAGCCAATTTTTTCTTTTAAAGTTTGCCTCACTTTATATTAACCACTTAATATACCACATCAAAACATATCATTTAAAGTCATTTTTATGAAAATGATTTAATTATTTTATTAAATCTTTAGTTTAATTAATTTTTTTATTTTTTTTCACCACAAAAGCTGGAATCAATTTAATTAACCTTTTGTTTGTTTTTAAATTTAATTTCATTCCAGCTATTATTAATAATTAACTGACCACTGCTCACTTAACGAATTATACATTAATTAACTTCTCTGTAAATTTAACAAAAAAATTTCTTTTACCACTTAATCTTTCTTACCCATTATTAAAAACACTACCACAATAATACGCAGGCATTTTCACTTTCCTTTTTTTGATTTTTATTTTAATAATTTTATTACAAAATTATTTTTTCACTTCATTTTACTTTTATTTTTTTAATCAAAGAGAGTTAATTTCAAAAAAAAATAATTTTTTAATTTCAGCTATTTTCGAAAAAAATTTTATTAAAAAAGTTGAAATTATTCTCTCCTATGTACATTTTATACTCACCACATTATTTACTTTTTAATTAAAATTAGGGTCTTGCTACTAAAATTTAAAAAAAGGAAAAATAAATAATTGAGTGATTTCTAAAATAAATTAATTACAGCTTGACTCTAATTTATTTTTATTTTACCACTTATTTTTTTAAATTAATGAGTGCCTTGCGTGTTAAATTATAATACCTATATAAATTACCACACCAAATTAATAATAGCAAAACTGTGTTTAAAAGCAAATGCGAGCGACTTTAAAGCGATTTTAATACAATTTTAATATTTTTTTTTAATTTTGAACTACAAGATTAGATTAAAGTTTAATTTAAATAATTATTGGAAAGTGACTCTTTTTAAAAAGTTTTTATGGTAAAGGTAAAAAATGGAGAAGGCGTATTTTAAAATGTATTTGGGGATTTTTAAATATTTTGGATGTGTTTATTGATCCTTTATAGGGGATAATCTATTATATTATTTAGAAAAAAAATATTTTCTCAAGTTTATATAGATGTTATCTAACAAAATGAAAATGTTTTATTAATTGAAGTAAAAGAGCAGATCAGGTTTAATTATAACTAAAATTCTTGGTAGGTTTTAACTGGATAATTGGAAGGAAACTATATTTTTATTTAAAAATTATTAATAATTTTGCAAATAAATTTGATTTTGAACAAGTTTAACTTTAATTTTCTCATAAAATAATCCTTAAAAAATGGGTGTTCATCGCCAAACATTTTATTTCCCTTCTCAACGTTTATTTCTCCCTTTTAATCAGGATTCTCTTCATTCTGAATGTTTACGCCGAAATGCAGATATTCATTCACTTATTTCTCAATTGGGACAATTACAACGTTCCCAACTCGAACAAATTCAGACAATTCCACTCAATACAGAAAAAGAAGCTAGAAGTCATTTTGTGGTAAATTATATTTAATACTGGAAGATTAAATTTAAAATTTAGGGGATGAGAGAAAAGCTTAATTCTTATTCAACTGAAGTGGCAAAGCAAATAGCTGAGGCGGATAGGTTATGTGTTGAATGTGCGGATTCGCTTAGTCCTGAACAGTTTCACCTCCTTAAGGTGCTTATAACTATATTTACCTTTATACATATTAACTTTCCTCTAAATAGCTTAAAAGTGTTCTTTAATTTCTCTAAATACAATTATTTTTGAAAATAAAGTTAAGAATTTGAAACCCTTATTCGTTAGGCAAAAAACTTGAAAATCATATAAGAATTTTTTTTTAGGAAAATCGACATTGTTTACAACATACATTCGAACGTTTAGAACGACAAGCTGATGCTATACTTGCTCGTTTAGATTTAGCAACGGCTCTCTTGTTAGAATTTACTTCACGTGCAAGCTCATTTCAATCTTGGGTTTTTGAACATGGAAGGCAATTGGATTCGTTGAGAGCAGAATCAGGCGATCCAGAAAGATTGGATTCCATAAGAAGAGCATTTGAAGATTTGAATGAGCTAATTTTGGTGAATTTTGTTTAAATAAATTACTAAAAATCAAAAATCTTAAAGCTTTACTTGTTCGGGATCTAATCTTTCGGGTCGGGTCGAATAAGAGTTGAACCTTGAGCCATAACTAACCAAAAATAAGAAACTACTCTATAGACAGTGATATTGCTCGTTTATCTAAGTAATGATTCACTTATTCCTGAACAGTGCTTAGATTACCAGAGCAAATTTTATGTGTTAACTGATAAATTACTTAGACTACTAGCTCTAAAATTAAGGAAAATTTGTTTTTTTAATGTCTGTCAGTTTTTTTTTCAATTTTTATTATTATATTGTCCATTTTTTTCTAACTAAAAAATAATATTTGCACAAACAATTCCCTTCTTTATTATCTAAATTTTCCTTGACATTAAACTAAAAAAATAATAATAATCTTTTCTTTAATAATTTTTAGTCTAAAAGACCGGAGTTAAACTCAATTGAACAGTTGGCCCAAAGAATTGAAGTTGAAATAGCTGCCTATGTTGATGAAATAAATGACCGGGGAGGCGGTATGTCTTCACCTATTTGTGAAGGTATAGCTTTGGTCACAACAACACAGCTGTTACAACAACACCAAGTTCGTGAAACTGTTTTGAGGGCGCAAGAAGATTATGAGGTGTGTTTAGGATTTTATTATTCCTTTTTTATTGAAATAATATTTTGTTTTAAAATTAAAATTTGATATATTTTTTTTCTAAATCTGCTTCTAAATTTATTACAATTTTTAATATTAAATAATTTAATTATTACACCTTTTGATATTTTTTTACAAAACTGTCTATATTTGAACTAAAACATTCTGTTAATTATTACGAATTATTATTTTTAGTCATTATTATCTGCAAAGCAAGAATTAGATCAGTTATTACAAGGATTATCTAGTAATTCAATGCAATATCAACAAAGACTTGCAGAATGGTTAAGCCATGCAGAGAAGCAAATATTACTTTTTAATGATCTACCAATTCATCCAAAAGTGAATTTAGAAATTTTTAGAATATTTGAAAAATTTTTTTATAGGAATTAACAGAACAAAGTGAAGAGTTAGCTGATTTTGTAAACGAAATTTCAATACAGGCACCGCTATTAGGTAAGAGAAAAATACACGTTAAAGGGTAATAATGCCGGAACAAATATTCATAAGCGTAGATTATCCCTCGGTTTTCTACTTCCACATTTTAGTACCTAGCATTTTAGAATATTTTTTAGATTTATTATATTAAAAATGAAATTTTTCCACAGTAAAATAGGTTAAAGAGACATAATTATTTGTTTTAGTTGGACAAATATTTTTTAGAAAACAAAATCCTAAAAAATTATTTTTGTAGAGAATGTTATTGAGAACACCCGAGAATTGTTTGCACACCTTGGGGGAAGTGAAGCTATAGCTTTACAAATGCGTACAGATCAGTTAAAACAACGTTATAATAATTTGGCTGATGATGCTGATTCAAAAATTGCTATTTGGGAAAAAGCACTGACTTTAGCCGAGAATTTGTTAGATGGACAGACTGAGTTAAAGTTGGGGTTTTTTTTCTAAAAAGCTTAATTATTAAAGAAATACGGGCAAAAAAATAAATCCGACCTACATATTTAATTTAACGAAGAATTTTTTTTTCTTTTATAAATATTTTTTGAAACTTTGACCTAACATTTTTCTTAGCTAGGAGATCTTTTTTTTTGCAATCTTAAATTTTCTACCTCGGACATTTCCCTTACAATAAAATTAATTCTATGATTTTTGCTCTTCAAAATTATGGAATTTTTTAAATTTATAATTTTTTATTTTAAAATATAATATTAAAAATTTTCTTAATTTTTAAAGAAAACATTTGGAAGATGTTGAAGAAGACTTACAAAATTTATCTCAAGTTTCTCTAGAAGAACAATTTCAATTAATTAGTACAATAGAATCAGATTTGGGCCCAGCACGAGAACAATTAGAATCTATTCAATTAATTAGTTGTGAACTTCAGAGATTAACCACAGAAAGTAGAGCTAATCAATTGGCAAAAGAAAGTGCTGAATTACTCAGATATTTTAATTCTGTGGCAGATACAGTTACTAAAAAGGCTGAATTGTTGAGTAAAGTAAGGGAAATTATTTTTTTTATTATTTTATTTTGGATTTTGGAGGCTTTAATTTTAAAAATCTGAACCTTAAGGACAGTTCAATTCAACAAAAAATATTAATAATCAGTTTGATAGGTTATCACAATTCCAAAAATTATTTTCATACCGGGGAAATTAATGTAAATAAAAGATAAGAGAGATTTTAATCTTCAATTTTTACACTTTCATATTTGTTTTTAAATGAGAATATTGTTGTAATTAATAATTCTTTAGCCTTAAATTACACTCTTGATCATAATAATTTATAAATTTTTTTTTCTATCCTATCTATAATTTTAAAATCAAGAAAATTTATTTCAAAAATAAATTTTATTTAAATTTTCAGGCCGAACGCCAATCTCGACTAATTTTTGACGTTCTCGATTTTTGGATTGACTGGTTTAACGAAGTTCAAGAACAAATAGTTAATGCAGAAAAGCCGGCTGTAGATATAGAACAATTAAAACAACAATTAAAACAACAAAGGCAATTAAATGATGAAATATCTTCTGAAAGAAACGGATTGAGAGATATGATTACTGAAGCTTCTAAAGTTGCTAGAGATTTAAATTTAACATTGGGAGGGCAAGAAGGACAAGAAGCTTTATTAACTAAAGTTGAAAGAACTAAGAAAATGGCTGAAGAAACGGCTGAACTTGGAAGTGAAAGAACTGCTGAATTAGAACAAGTAAAATAGAATATTACGTTATTAAGTAAAATACAGTCAGATTTTGCTATAAAATACACCTTTGAGACATACATATGTATATGAAGTATTTTAATATAAATTCTTTTAAATTTTTTTTAAACTTTACTCTAAATTGAGGCACCTTATATAGTTGACATATAATTAAGTAGCTTATATTTTTGGCCGACTTTATAGTTATTCTCACCTTTTCGATTTTATTTTTTATTTTATACCCCCAATTTATTTTCAGGCTTTTGCCCTTGCAAAAGAACTTGATTCGGTTTGTTTTAACTCTTTCCCTTTAAATTTCAAAAAATTTTATTTAAGGAATATACAGAACTTAATGATTATATGGATGGATTTGAACGTGAATTATGTGCTTGTGACCCAATAACTACAGGAATGCCTGCTAAAGTTCTTTTAGCCCAACAACAACATAATAATGTAATTTCAAAGAATTTATTATTAAAAAATAATTTTTTTAAAGAATATTCTTCAACAAATTCAAAGTCAACGTCCAATGGTTAATAAATTTGAAAGAAATGTTGCTGCATTGCGGGAACTTTGTTCTGAAATTGATGAACAAAATTTAAAACAAATTTCTGAAAATGTTGCTGAACGTAGGATTTTTAAAAAACTTTTTTAAATAATCTTGTCGTCGCTGTCTCCCTTATAAACATAGTATTTCACTTTAAGATTTTTTTTGGATTTTTTGAACATTAATTTTATCACAATAAATATAATTTAATAATCATTTCACTATTTTATCTAAATTTACCTGCATAATTTTTTAACAAATATAATATTTACCTTTTTCCTAAAAATAAATATGACAATTAAAATGAGATTTTTTGAAATCTTTTTCAAAATGCTTATTTTTTTCAGGTTTCGAAGAATTAGTTCATGCATTTCAAGAACGTGGTGATGTTTTAACTTCTTCATTAGAACATTCTGCACATTTGGGAGACAGATTAAATATGCTTTTGAGTAATTTAAGTGCAGCATTAGAGCAATTACATTCTCAAGAACCTCCCTCATCTCGCCCACCAATAATCCGAAGACAGTTAGCTGAAATGAGTGCTATGTTTGATTTATTACATCAAAGAGAACCTTCTTTCTTGGCAATGAAAACACAGTGTTCTGAACAGATTGAACTTGCAAAACAACAAAATTTAAATTCTGGACAAGAACCATCAACTTTAGCAGAAATGCACCAACAAAGATTGGCTGAATTGGATACTAGATGGACTGAACTTAAACAAGCGGCTGAAGGAAGGAGATTACAACTAGAAACGATACTTCCTTTAGCTGAACGATTTTGGGTAAATTAAATAATTTTTTGGACTTTCTTTGAGCATTTTTTAATATTTATTCTATCTTTTAAAAAATCTCTAGCTTAGGCATTTTATCATTCAATTTTCTTTAACCAACTGTATTGCGTTATTACATAATTAACTAAATATTATGACTCGAGACTAACTAAATTAATGAATTACAATAGAAATTGACGTCTAGGTGTTTTTTATCAGTATTATGTCTAGTACTAGAATTCACCGAAGCTTTATTTTCTTTACCTATTCTCTTTCTATTACGTAATTTCTATTTATCATTAATATGATTATTAATTTTTATTTAAGTTTTTTTCAATTTTTAGATTCAATTAGACCTTGCCCAACAATCTGTTGTCCAAATTCGTCAACACACTGATCAATTTGGAATGACTGCAGCAGCAGAAGATTTATTTGATAGTCCAGTAAAGCAATTACAACAAAGACAAAATCAACTTCAATCTCTTCAAAATGGAATTTCTGAGTGTTCTCAGGGTGTTCAACAAGCACATTTGGGTGGACTTGCATTGTGTAATGAATTGTTGGGTGCTGAAGAGGAACAAAGTTTTGTACAACAACATTTAGCTGCATTGCAGGCACAATGGGATGCTTTTCTTGCACATTTTACTCAAATGAGTAGTTCTCTAAGTTTGGCTGTTAATCAGGCAAGTTTTTTCTTTAAAATTCTTTTTACTAAACAAAAAACACGAATTTTTTTGGAATTTTTTCGAATTTTTTTGGTTTAAAATTTTTTCTACAGTAACCCACTGTTTAAATAGAAATATGATCTTTGTCGTGATGTTTGTATAAATTTTTTGTTAAATATGAAAGCATTTTTGCTAACTAAATAGAAAATAACCCTAAGTAAATCAGAAGCTCAGACCTGGCTAAAACAAAACAAGTCTGACTATTCCAGACTAGTCCACAATACAGGGGAATGGGGATTCTTCGACAGACTATTGTTATACCTAAATGTATAACTTTTTTAACCTGATTGATATAAATTTTTAAATTTTCTTATCAAAATACTTTTTATCAATTAATATTTACCGATTATATTTTTTTCAAAAATTATTACGTCCTCCTTAACTTTTGTTCTTTAATCATTTAGTCACTTCAATTCCACTCTTTACTGCAACAATTAACTTCATTCTTGGCTGCAAAAGAAAATCAAGCTTCTAATATTATAACTGACAATCCTTTAAATTCTGTTGATTCTGTTAGAGAACAACTTCAAATTGTTGATATGTTACGAAGGGAATTGGATGAAGCAGCAATTGGTCGTGAACAGTTAAACCAAATGGGAGCTGAATTATGTGCTGTTATGGCTGCTACAAAAAATACATCTATGGGGGATACAGGTAATTAGAATATTTCTTACTTTCTTGACTTATTTTTAAAGATGATCCAACTCTTTCAATTAGACAACCACTGGGCGAACTCAATCAACGATGGAATGTTCTATTAAAACGTCTTTTGGATAGCCAACAACGTTTAGAACGTGCACTTCTTGATATGGGACAGTTCTCTCAAGCACATGCTCAATTAGTTGATTGGATTGATAAAACTTTATCAACATTAGATGGGGTAGAAGGAGAATGGCGCTTATATTCAGATAATGGAACAAGTGGTTTAAAACATATTGAGATTGCTTTATGCAAATTAAGGGTAAATTTATTAATTAAATTATATTCTAAATATTGTCTGTATAAAACAGGCAGACTAAAAAGTCTCTCCGCATATGTCTTAGTTTTTATTTTTGAAAAATATTTTGGGCGATTCTTGATATAATAAATGAATTTTAAATTAGATACTTCAAAACGACATTTCTGCCCATCAACCAAGTTATGAAGCTATTTTAACTGCTGGAGCACAGATTTTACGCCAAGAAGATTCTTCTGCTGCAGCTAGCACACAGCCAATGATTGAACATTTAGTCTCGAATTGGTCAAAACTAGATGAAAGAACACAACAATTATATAATGAATTAGAACAAAATAGGGCCGAATCCACTTCAAGAAATAATGATATGGAAAAATGGCGTTTATGGCTGGCTGATTTATTAACTGAAATGAGGGTACCCCTTTTACACATAAAAAATAATTATATATTTCTTCAAAAATAGACAAATCGTCCGATAGGAGGTCTACCTGAAACAGCGATTGCCCAGCTTGACGAGTTTCGAGTAATTCAATCAGATGTTGAACAAAGAAAGCCTCAATTTGAAGAATACTTGAATTCCCTAGAAGAATCAATGGAAGATTTGAAAAGATCTGAAGTCAAGAATGGAAAAGAAGACAGGACAATTAGTCAAGTTAAAAAGCTTCGAGCAGATTGGAAAACTCTTCAAGTGAATGTTTTGAATATTTTTTAAAGAAAACTGAGAATACATATAACTTGAAATTAGTCACCATTCCTTATACGTTGTCTTTTTAATTGGAATTACCGATTGATCCTTTTCAGAAAAACTCACCTTCGGAATAATTAAACCTTACTTTTACCACATTCTTACTTTCCAGGAAAAATTAGCTGAACAAGAGAAGAAGCTACGACAAGCACTTGAAGAAGCATTAGAGCTTTCCCAAGGGGTAATTATTAAGTAAATTATTTATCAAATCAATTTCCCTATACCAATTAAGATGCAAGAAATGCAAGATTGGTTACTTGAAGCAGAAAATCATTTGGCAATGGTACCTCCAATCTCAAGATTAGTAGAAACACTCGAAACACAATTGGGTACTCACAAAACATTTAATGATTCTGTCCAAACAAAATGTCAATTGTGAGGAAATTTTGAAAGAAATATTTAAAAAATTTCTTAAAATTATTTTAGTATGAAAGAGCTAAATAATAAAGGTATTAGAATGCAATTAAGCTGTGAAAAGAAGGATGCAATTCCTATGAAAAATAAATTAGTTTCTTTAAAACATAGAACAGACAAGCTTGCACAAAGAAGCAATGAACGATTACGTACATTAACTATTGCATTGGTAAACAGAAAATTTATTTTTATTTGGAATTGATGAAAATTTTAACATTTTAGGATGATTCAAGGCTCTTTTTCGTCGCTCAACAAGAATTAATTGACTGGATTGAAGAACAACTTAAATTACTTGATGAAAAGGAAACTGAAAAGATGGGGACTGGGGACAGAATAAGGGAATTATTAGAAGAACATAAAAAATTACAAGATCAAATAAGACGGAGAACAGGACTTTTTGATGAAACTAGGCAATATATTTGCTTTAAATTAACTTTAAAATTTTTTATAAAATTTTTAGATTAAGAGGTAATTTGTTGGGCGAACATGCCCCGCCAGCAGAAAAACGAAGAATTGAATCCGCAAATGATCAATTAGGAAATGAATGGGCAGAATTGGGGAAAAGAACTTTGAAAAGGCAAAGAAGTTTAGAAGAAGCATTAATTCAAAGTGGACATTTTGATGAAGTTTTGGCTGAATTACTTGAATGGCTTAAAAAGGAATTACCTCCAATTGAGAATGAACTTTTGACACAAAATTATTTTGGTAAATTTTATTTTCTTGTTTATTTAATATATTTCTAATTTTAACATTATTATTAATTTTCACTAATTTTTCTATTTTAAGGCGATATTGATACAATGAATACTTTAATGAGAGAGCATTTTGAGGTAAATTATTTTTTATTTTATTTTAAAATTTCGTCATCATTTTAAATTTTGACTATTATTAAAGAAAATCTTTTTAATTATTTTATTAATTTTTAGTTAGTAGAACGTGCAGATACAAGAAAACCAAATGTTTTAAAAGTCCAAGAACGAGCAAAAAAAATTCTGGCTTCAAAAGGTGGAGATCCTCAAGAATTGGATAAATTAGCTATTTCGCTGGAAACACTCGACGGGCAATGGAAACGTTTAGAAAGTTCTATTGCCGAAAGAGTAGTTCAAAACTAAAATTCTTTTTAAAATTTAAATTTTAGGATCGCCGATTTACAGCAGCATTGAAGAAGGCTGTTGATTTGTCTGAAATGATGTAATTTAAATAAAAATATTTTAAGAATTTACGGCGTTGATTGGAATTATTATACATCTCAGCTTTATGGCTAAATTTGTGCTTTAACTCTCAAACGTTTTTTGACCTCCTATCTTTAGACATACTTTGGATTCCATACCAGAATTCTACAGCTTTACCAAATTTAATTAATATAAATTTAAGGCATGAACTAGGTACTACTCTTCAAGACATTGAGGGCCGAGTTCGCCGTTTAGGATTACCTTGGGAAGAACAAGATGTTTTAACAGAACAAAATCAGTTAGAAAAACTCCAAAAAGAATTTATGTCAGAACATCCAACATTAGAAAAGCAATTAGAATTAGCTAGAGAACTTCAATCTCGTAGCCATCCACGTGCAGAAAAACCTTTAAAAGAATTAATAACAACAGCAAATACTCGTTGGGAATCTTTGGATGCACTTTTAAATGATAAATCAGAAAAGTTAAGGTTAAGATTGGAGGAAATTCGTAAACATGAAAGACAACAGAATGATTTATTTAATTATTTAGAAGAAAAGCAAGGGCAATTAGATTATTATAGGTATTAGATTGTTATAGCTAGGGTTTTATTTTTAAAATTTTAGAGGAGAATGCCATGATGAAGGTCAGCAAGCACGATTACAAACATTAATTGACGAACAACAAATGTTTAAATCAGATTTACAACAACGTCAACCAGAATTCGATGAAGTAATGAAAATAGCTGCTAAAAGACGTTTACATAGTGGAAGACATTCTGATAATTTTGGAATTCTTAGTGGAAATAAGGGAGGAATAAATAATGAAGTTGAAGAAAGGAAAGATGAAGTAAAATAAATTTTAGAATTTTAAAAATAATATTCTTTTTTTCTCAACAGACTGACCAACTTCTATCACCTCTTCTTTCTCCTTCCAAATCTTCCCCTAAAAGAGGAGCATCTGCTGCCAAACAAATTAAACTTCAAGAAAAATTACAACAACAAGAACAACAACAACAATCATCACTATTACGCCAACAAAATAAAACAAAAAGTGAAATTTTGGGAGATTCTTGGAGGAAATTATGGGCAGATTTACGTTTATATGAAGAACATTTAAAGCAGGTATTTTGAGAGAAACAACTGAAAATAATTATTAAAAATAAATTAAATTTTAAGAGAAAGGCTCATTTGGATGAAATTGATAGATTGAAGAACTTTACTTTTGAGGTACTTGAAAGAATAATTTTTCATTTTACTTTCTTCTTTACCTTTCCTTTCTTTCCTTTTCTTAAACTTTTCCTATAACATTTTGTTAAATTAAAAAAAAAATTTAAATAAAAGGAATGGCGTGAACGTTATCTTGCTTGGAATGATCATGGAAAAGCTAGAGTTTCTGATTTATTCCGTCGAATAGATAAATTGGGTACTGGACGTGTACCTCGACAACAATTTATTGATGGAATAATTTCTTCAAAATTTCCAACAACTTTATTAGAAATGAATAAAGTTGCCAATGAATTTGATGGAGGGGATGGATTAATTTCTTCAAAAGAATTTATGAATGCTTTGAGATATGATCCAAATAAAAGAATACCTCCAAAAAGTGAAACAGAAAGAATACACGAAGAAATTGCTAGGGAAACGGCTAGATGTACTTGTGTTAGACGTTTTCCTATTTTACATTTAAGTACAGATAAAGATAAGGTAAAAAATTAAAATTTTTAATACTAAAATTATTTTTTGCTTTCTACTTCTTTTTTAAACTTTTCTCTTTCATTTTCTTTTGAGTTGTCTAAGTTTGGAGTAATTTTAAAGCTAAGGACTTTTAGTACTATTTATCTACATACCTAATTAGTAAAGACTTTACATAGATATTCTTTCTGGTTCCAAATCTTCTTCCAGATTTTCTTTATTTTATTGTTCCAACATCTCATTTTTAAATAAGATGCCAATTATCTTTTTTTCAAACATGCCAATTATCTTTTTTTCTTTTTGCTTCATTTAAAAATTATTTTAATATTTTATTATATATTTTACTTTTAAATACTTATTTTAGGTCCAATATGGTTTTGGTTTTGGAGGTTCTATGAAAAGAATGGTGAGAATTCTACGTAGCACGGTGAATTCAAAAAATTCTTAATGAATAAATATTATTACATATAAAGGTTATGGTTCGTGTTGGTGGTGGTTGGGAAGCTTTGGATGGATTTTTGTCAAAACATGATCCATGCCGAGCTAAAGTAGCATCTTCATCTATTTTAATTTAAAAATATTTTTCTTTTTTTAAAGGGCCGTATAAATGTCGATTTACTTCCTTTAACTTCTGATTATCATTTGAGGCCTATAGGTGCTATTGATGCTATAGGGGAATTTCATAGAAAAGAATCAACATCTTCTAATTCTGGTATTGGTCCTATTGCACAACCTTCTTCTTCAAATGTTATTGAGAGAGTTCTTGGATATAGTCCTGGACAGCCTGGGCCTATTATGAAGGTAGAATATACCCTCAACTACTAAAATTCTATCTACAATCTAAATTTAAGATACGAGAAAAAACTGAGCGTTCATTGCCAATGTTCAAAAGATCAGCAGATAATAATAACGGGTCTACTATTTCTATTCCACAACTAAAACAATCACAATCCGATCATTCCTCAATTATTGGTTTTATTTTTAATAAAAACAAATTTTAATTAATTGTTTTTCTAAAGATGATATTTATGGTTCTTCTCGCATTCCCCGGCCTGCAAGTTCTCGACAAGGAGGTTCTGACATTGCTTCTACCCCTTCCAGACCGGCCAGTAGATCCTCTGATATTGGATCTGATATAATTACAAATCAACCTAAAGGTGTTCGTTTTACGGGAATTAATACACAGTAAGTTTTTTGTGGCTGTTTTGTATAAATAATAAAATAATTTTTAAGAAGTTCAAGTAGCAGTGAACGTATTCCTTTCAGGCCTTAAAAATAAATTTAACAAATATTTTGAAATATTTTTTAAATTCCTCTATACAAATTCTCTCTCTATAAAATATTGCATGGTTTTAAATTAAGTGCATTATTCTTATTATTGTTTCTGTTTTAAATTGTTTTTCTTAAAATAATTATTTTATATTTATTTCATTTTTTAATTTTTGACCAAAAAATATTTAAAATTTAAAAGAAGAGTAAAATTATTTTATATTATTATTAATTTAAAAATATTATTTTTTTTGTTTTATTTTTTAAAAAAAAGTCAGTGCCTGTTGTCCTTTCCCTCTTTATTTTTCATTTCTTTTAATGCTCATCAATTTATTTTTGTTTGTTGATAAAGTTTAAAAATATTTTGGTTGAATATATTTTGTTTAATGCTTCAATAATTTTATGTGTTTTGGATTTATTTTGGAAAAAACAGAAAAATTGTTGTTGCCAAAGAGGAAGTGGTTTAATAAAAGTTTTGAAAAAATTTTTAACTTAAAAATTCTTTAAAACATTATTAGATATTTTTTTAATTATTATTTTCTGGGACGATATTCAAGAAAGCGGGTTGGAGAACCTGGTAAATTTACCAGGTTCTCTTACCCGGGTAATACATAGAACTCTCAGTTGAGGGTTGACCCTTATTCAAAAAAATCGACCCAGAACATGGTGTTTACCCGCAGCTGCGGGTAAACTAACCCACAACCCTCTTCTATGAATATCACCCCTGAGTTTTCAGATGCATATATTACACATTTTTTTAAATTTTTCCTTGATATTGTTTATCGAAATTAAATGTGGAATTCGATAAAAAATTAGATTTGATTACAAATACATATTTTCCAATATTTTAAGAAATATTTTAATCTTTGATATTAATATTTCTAAAGTATTTTAATCTTTTTAAATTCAAAATTTAAAATCCTCTTTCTTTTTTTTAAAATTTCTAAGAAAAAAGAAGAAAATAAATACTTTTATTAAGCTAAAACAACTGGCTTTACTCTTATTATGTTTTTAATATCAAATTACATGTAAACTAAAAGATTCTTTTAAAAATCTTGTTTTAAATAATTTTTAAAGAATTTTCTGTCTGATAATTTAATTGCAAATTTTCGTTATTAATTTATTTCGTTTAATTAATGATTTACTGATTGTATGTATTTTAATGAAAGGTGCATTATCAAAAGGGATTTCCAGATGGTGTTTGCCGATTTGATTTATTTTTTCGTTCATCTGACAGAATTGTTAATCATTTTAGAGGTTGGGTCCGGGTAGTTAAGAGGTAATTTCGGCCTTGAAGGTCATATGTAGGTTCGAACCCGTTCAGGTGTCAATATTTTTTTAAATCAGTCTTTTTCTATTTTTAATTATTTTTT